TGAGGCGTGGGCAAAAGCACGGCCACAGTCTGGGCAAGGGAAGGGGGTCTCGCCGCTATGGACCCGCTGGTGCTGGTAGAGGGCAGAGCTCTGGCTGAAGCAGTGGCCGCAGTCTGCACAGCGGTAGGGCTTCTCACCCGTGTGGACCCGTAGGTGGGTGGTGAGGGCAGAGCGCTGGGTGAAGGCCCGGCCACAGTCGGGGCAGCGGTGGGGCCGCTCCCCACGGTGGATGGCGCGGTGCTTGCTCAGAGAGGAGGCCTGGCCGAAGCCTTTGCCACAGTCAGGGCAGGAGAAGGGCTTCTCGCCCGTGTGGGTGTACAGGTGCTCCACCAGAGTGGAACGCCAGGCAAAACTCTTCCCACAGAGGTAGCAACCGTGACGCTGGTCTGCCCTTGGGACAGGGGGATGGGCAATGAGTGGGGGGCGACCCCGGTGAGGCACCGTGGATGGCTGCTCCAAACTGTCAGGGAGACCAGCAGAAGGGGGTGTGAGAGCCTTCAGCCCAAGAGGCCGAGCGGCCACAGGAAGGACCTTCTCCAGGGCCCCGGTGCCTTCTCCCAGTCCTTTCTCTTCCTTGGCTCTGGAACCTGCTGGGAGGTAAGGGGAGAGCTCAGGCCCTGGCTTGCTGATCCTGGTCCCTGAATCCCACACGCCATGTGGTGAGAGAGGCACACAGCACCTTCTGGACCCACACTGCCTGTGGGCCTCGGCTCAGGACAGGCAGGGAAACTGAGGACACCTTTCCTCAGCTGCAGAGGACAGAGAGCAAAGCATCCGAAACAGAGGAGCAGGAACAGCACATTCTAGCTCAGGGCCAGGGAGTGGCTGGGGCAGGCGGCAGATGTGTGGCCTGGATCGCGGGGGTGAGGAGATAGGTGCTCAGGCAGCGGGCACCGCACAGGGAGGCGTGCGCTTGGCGGAACCAAGCTCAGAGGCGCTGGGCACACTGTGCCACAAGCTGCAGGATGAGTTACTAGGAGTCCGCGGGAGCCAAGGGGAAGGACGCTGCTCCAAGATATAACAAAAGAAAGCAAACTGCCCTGACCGGTTTGGCTCAGTGGATAGAGCGTCGGCCTGCGGACTGAAGGGTCACAGGTTCGATTCCGGTCAAGGGCATGTACCTGGGTTGCGGGCACATCCCCAGTGGGGGGTGTGCAGGAGGCAGCTGATCGATGTTTCTCTCTCATCGATGTTTCTAACTCTCTATCCCTCCCCCTTCCTCTCTGTAAAAAATCAATAAAATATATATTTTTAAAAAGTAAACTAACACACAGGCAGAGGAGCTAGATGGAGGCAAACAGGAGGGAGGACGTGGAGCAAAACAGAGCTTCAGGGCAACCAGACGGGAGGGGTGGGAGCC